AACAAACACGCCCCGACAAACACTCCCCCCTCCCCCCTAGTTGCGCTTCGATGGTTGGCATGCAACCGGGATCGGCCCTGACAAACACTCTCCCCTCCGCCCTAGTTGTCAGTCGATGGCTAACTTGCAACTGGGGCTCGTACAACAAACACACACGCCCTTAGTTGCGAGTCGATGGTTGATTTGCAACTGGGAGCTCCGACAAGAACACACACCCTTAGTTGTGAGTCGATGGATGACTTGCAACTGGGGGCCCTGACAAGCACACGCTTAGTTGCGAATCGATGGGTGACATGGAACTCGGGACCACGATAAGAACACACACGCCCTTAGTTGTGAGTCTATGGTAGGCTTGCAACTAGGCGCCCTGACAAACACGCCCTTAGTTGCGAGTTGATGGTTGAGTTGCAACTAGGGACCACGATAAGAACACACACACCCTTAGTTGCCAATTGATGGTTGACATGCAACTAGGGACCATGACAAACAATATACACCCTTAGTTGCGAGTTGATGGTTCGCTTGCAACTAGGGGTCCCGACAAAACAAACACACCCTTAGTTGCGAGTCGATGGTCGACAAACAAACACGCCCCGACAAACACTCTCCCCTCCCCTAGTTGTGTGTCGATGGTTGACATGCAACTGGGGGTTCGACAAACACACAAACCCCATCCTCCCTAGTTGCAAGTTTATGGTTTACTTGCAACTGGTTCCTTTACAAACATGCTTTGCTCCCCTAGTTGCGAGTCGATGGTTGACATGCAATTGGGGGACCCGACAAACACACTTCCCTCCCCCTAGTTGCGAGTCGATGGTTCACTTGCAACCGGGGTCGGCCCCCGACAAAACACTCTTGCCACCCCTAGTTGCGAGTCGATGGTTGACTTACAACCGGGGACGGCCCCGACAAACACTGTCGGCTCCCCTAGTTGCGAGTTGATGATTGACTTGCAATTGATCTGAATTCTACACATTTCTACCCTTTATCTCGACAAAAAACTTGCAATTGCTCCCTTTATATAAAACAGGCTCTCGTCTGGGAATCGGGATGGACTCTACAAATTCTTTACCAGGCCATAAAACATGCACAACGAAAACAAACAAAAACAAACGCACCCCCCATGACTATATATATGGGGCCATGTGAAAAGAAACGTGAGAACAGATGACACAAAAACAATCATGACAAAGAGGACGCGCAACAAAGGAGAACAAGCTGACACGAGCGTGCATGAACAAGTTTGTACGAACATTAAAGTAAACAAATTAGACGGTTCAAACTAGATGAGACATCACTAACTCATATCCCGATGAGATTTAGCAAATCCAAAACAAAAAAAATCTAGTCATGATGTCCTCTAGCTACACAGTTGAACAAAAAATGACCACAAACAGGAAATAAAAAGACGCGTGGCCGTCCACAAAAAATCTACAACACACAAAATAAACCCCAATACACAAAATATTAAAGCGGCCCACTAAGGAAAGTCCTATCGGGCCTCAATGCTTCACGAGGGACAACAAAAGACGCACGGGCAAATGGGCTGACAAGTAGATACCAAACGCATGGGTCTCGCTTGAAAAAACGACAAGATCAATTTTTTGGCGACATTTAAAGTGAACAGATGGCAGAATGAAGAAAGGTTCTTGAATTTAGGAAAGATAAGTAAAAGAAAAAAAGGGAAAGTCAAACAAAAAAATAAAAAGAAATGGAATATATGGAAAATATAAATAAATAACATCCTTCACTAGAACATGAAAAACAAATAAGCAAACGCCCCTCAACTGTTCGGCTCTCCAATATATACAACGCAGGCCAAAATAAGA